CATCTTTTAGGATTTGAAATAGCTCAACTGGAATTCCATTGCCTCCACTAGCTTTGTTCGTAGTGATGCTTCCTAAGGCCCACTTGACTTTGCATTCCAAGATGTCTGGTTCAAAATGAGTGATCACACCATCATGGTTATCTGGTTCTTGAAGATCTTTTTTGTATAGTTCTGTGTATTCTTGCCACCACTGCTTAATACCTTCTGTTTCTGTTAGGTCCATACAATTTCTGTCCTTTATTGTTTCCGTCTTTGTGTGAAATGTTCCCTTGGTATCTCTAATTTTCTCGAAGAGATCTCTAGTCTTTCCCATTCTGTTGTTTTCCTCTGTTTCTTTGCATTGATCGCTGAGGAAGGATTTCTTATCTCTCCTTGCTATTCTTTGCTTATACAAGTATATAAAAATAAGAATGACTTTTGTATATTCATTTGTATTCTGCGACCTTGCTAAACTTGTTTACTCTAATAATTTTTTTAGCAGATTCTTTAGGATTTTCCACATAAAAGATCATGTCATTTGCTAACAGAGATAGTTTTATTTCATTTCCAGTTTGGTTGCTTTTGATTTTATTTATTTTGCTTGCCTGATTGCCCTTTGACAATGTTGAATAGAAGTGGAAAGAGTGGACATCCTTCTTGTATGAAGATCTGACCTTAAGGGGAAAGTTTTCTGTTTTCTCCATTAAATAAGTTTTCAAAAAAAATAGAAATAGAAAAAGAGTCTTACCCTTATAGAGCTTACTGTCTAATAGAGGAAACAGGCAAAATCAAGTATTTGGAAACTCTCACCTTTGGGGTTTTTATAGAGGCTTCATTGCCTTGGCACAATTGATTAAATCATTGGCCGTTGGGGATTGAACTCAATCTCCAGCCCCTCCCACCTACCCAGAGGTCTGTGGGGTGGAAATGAAAGTTCTAACCTGATAATTACAGGGTTGATTCCCCTGGCAACCAGCCCCCATCCTTAGATGGGTCCAAAAGTCACCTAATTAACATAACAAAAGACATTGATCACTGTCAATCACTTAGGCAGGCAATTCCAAGGATTTTAGAAGCCAGTTCTGATTTTGCTGATCATATGCTGCTGTTAATGTACTAGGGATAAATTAGAAGGCCAGGACAGCTTTTTCTTAGTCAAAACAGGAACTATTTTTTTAACCCCTAAAGCATCTAGTCTTAAAAATCTGAATCCATTTCCAATGGTGGCATCTCTTTTGCTGATGAAATATGAAGAGCAATTAGGTAGTTCTGTTGGTTAGTCAACTGTCAAGATTGATAGCATAATCATAAGTATTTTCACATAATCTTCTTATTCCTCAGTAAGGAACCATTTCACACTTCTTGGGTATGGGCCCCATGATACCAGGATTTTTATATTTTCACATGGACAAGGAGGGATAGAAGCAGAATAGGGAAAGAGGTTTTCGGATATAAGAATAAATATATTTTCTAACCTAGATTTAACTCTTTTAACATCAATTATTTCTATCCATCAATTTTCCATGTTAAAAAGTTAATTCCTAGGATAATATTAAGAGAGTTTAATCAAAAGAGTTTGGAACAATTATTTTTTTCTGTTAAATTTCGTGACTTAGAGGTATTCAACATTGCTTTGTCTCAGAATCACCTTTCCTAGTTCTAACTGGTTCAGAGGGCCAGAGAAATAAAACAACTATGATTACATCACCAATCTTGACAGTTTGTTTATCAGCTGCATTAACTAGTTACTCGTCATATTTCATCAGCAAAAGAGATGTCTCCCTTGAAAATGGATGATGGGGACTTCCCTGGTGGGCCAGTGGTTAAGATTTTGCCTTCCAATGCAGGAGGTGCAGGTTCCATCCCTGGCTGGGGAGTGAAAAGCCCACATGCTGCACAGCTCAGCCAAAAAATAAAAATAAATGAAATAACAATAAGAAACATAAAATAATGTTTAAAAGAAAATGGATTCTGATGTTTTAAAACCAGATGCTTTAGGGGTAAAACAATAATAATTTCTATTTTGGTGAGAAAAAGTGTTGGGCCTTTAGTTTATCTCTATTGTTAAGTGTTAGTCACTCAGTCTTGTCTGACTCTTTCCCACCCCCATGGACTGTAGCCCGCCAGGCTCCTCTCTCCATGGGATTCTCAAGGCAAGAATATTGGAGTGGGTTGCTATTTCCTTCTCCAGGGAATCTTCCTGACCCAGGGATCGAACCTATGGATGATGAACAGTACCTATTCTATACCATATATATGGATATCCAAATATATGTGTGCATATGCATATATATGGGGTTTCCCTGGTGCCTCAAATGGTAAAGAATCTGCCTGCAGTGCCGGAGACCCGGATTTGATCCCTGGGTTGGGAAGATCTCCCAGAAAAGGGAATGATTACCCACTCCGTGGGGATCATGAAGAGTTGGACACAACTGAGTGACTAACACTTTCACTTCACTTTCACGCATATGTACATTTTTAACTTCATAGACAATAACTTCATAGGCAATTCCTAAGGAGGAAACACTTTGAAACTAAGATATATCATTGTTGCTTCTTTAAGAGAAAAATTTATTTTAGTTTTATGGTTTGAGTCAACTTATATATCACATATAATTTATATATATCAAACATACTCAAAAACAAAGTTTGGCTTATTTGGATATTTCATTGAGCTAATAAGCCCAAGGGTAGATCTTGCTTGACTTATAGGTGAGTTTGATTAGCAAATATTCCTGAGACAAATCTTCGAAGAGCATTTTTATTACTTTGCTCTAGTGAATTCCAAGATTTCGTGCTGTCATATAGTAACAGGCTGCACATAAAACCTTAGTACTGACTCAGCAAGTGACAGCTGGGGCGACTGCTCAATATTGGTGCATAGTCTGAATTGGCTCTAGTCTACACCAATGGTGGTGAGTCTTCATTAGAATATTAAACAACTTTCTTGTTTATATGGTTTTGCATTAAACCGATTCACATACACATGTAATACATTGTATGATTGGTATCTCAAGTCGCACTGAAAGCATATCCTATTTGTATTTGGTGACCAATCCTCATGAGCTTCCTTAAGGAAAAAAAAAACTACCGAGTTGAGTAGTTTGTTTCGGGCATAGTCTCACCTACCACTGTCACTGCTTCCTAACCATGGCGCACCTAAGTCCTCAAGCTAAATCTGCTTGCCCAAAGGCACTAGTGTAGCGTTTCACTCAAACCTGCCCTTCCATGTACCGGGACCACTTCTCCTCCTCCTCTCTGGTGGCATTTAAACTCCCATTTAAGGAAATGTCATGTTTTAGGAATTTAGGTTTGTCCACAGTAGTGTAAAAGTGATTGGCTAATCTTCCCAGTCTGTGTGTGTGTATGTGTACACACATAAAAAGGTGTGCTCTGTGATGTAATATGCTTGCACGGATGACCTGCTTCCTGCTGTGCTCTGTGAGGTGGGAAAGGAAGACAGCCACGCAGGTGTATAATCAGGAAGGTGAGCAGTGCAAGAAGCCTCTCGGGGGTGAAGCTGAGGCACTAGCAGGTAGAAGAAGTCCGTCCACTGGGACTAGAGAATGGGTTCTCGCCATCTCCTCTCTAATCCCAGATAGTCTCCTACATGGGCTCCATTAAGACAGGATGGGGAGACCAGTTCAGACCCTCAAATGCCCTATGCTCTTAGAATCTATTTTCTGAATGCAAGGGTACTTCCTAACGGGTCTCTGGAAGAGAAGCAACTGGTCCCAGTCAAAAGGTCAAAGAAAGAGAGGTTTGTTTTTACTTTTTATCTCCCTCATTAAGTTTTGTACAGAGCTTCTCAATACATAATGGAAACAATGTATTACAGCAATTCTAAGGTTATTTTTTTTTGCAATTTAACACCTCTGAAACTGAGATGCATCCTGTGATCAATGGCAATTTACAGGATTGATGTTGCCTGGATTGAATTTCTTATATGAACATGTATTTCCACTAGGGTCACTACCGACCTGAGACCGTTTTAAATTAGATTATCTCCCTGAGTTGTTTGCAACTCACTGGTGGTGTGAGTGCAGATCTCATACCTATGTGAGTAAAGGTTATTGTTCAGAATCTCAGGGAGGAGTTTTCTTTCTCTCTCCTACCAGGGCTGAGGTTGAAAAATGAAATTGTCCCTTGGGAATTCCAGCTTTATGCCAGGGTCTCTTATTAGATTTCCTATCCTAGACATTTTTCTTGGTAGTTGATAAAATAATGGCTTATCTTATAGCCAAAAGAATTTTAGAAATTTCACAGTGGAATTAAAAATGCTTGTCTTCAGGGAGAAGCCATTTCTTCCCAGTTTCTTACTTGAATTGAAAATGGTTGTCTCCAGGGACAAGCATTCTTCCCAGTTTCTTACTTCTGAGCAGCAACACTGCCTTCTTCAGGTCTTCACTTGTCTTTCAGAGCCTGCCAGAGTTCTCAAAAAGAGCCAGGTAATCACCCTCCAGATGAATGATTCACTGTGCAATTTGTGGATATAATGGGATTTGTTCATTTGTAATTTCATCAAGATATAATTTTTGAGTAAATATTGTTGTAATGCTGTAATTACCATTGTGGTGAATCTGTTCATTTGCTTTCGCAAATATTTATAAGGTTATCTATTCTATGCACTGGGGAAGGAAAAAAGATGCCCAAGAAATGGCCCCTGACTTAAGGGAGCTTTGAGTCTGTTATGATTGGGTAAGGCATGCACTAAATAACTGTAATGTATTGTAGAAAGTGATAAAACCAGGGGAAAGGAATGGAAAAGCTATCCCATGATATTCAGGAGAGAAAGAAATCATTTCTAGTCTGGGAGAATCAAAAATACTTTATGGATGATATGAGTTATAATATTAAGGGGGAAAGTAATAAGGATTATCATTTAAAATGCTTTGTGCACTTAGTCACTCAGTCGTGTCTGACTCTTTGTGACCCCATGGACTATAGCCCTCCAGGCTCCTCTGGCCATGGGATTTTCCAGGCAAGGATACTGGAATGGGTTGCCAAGCCCTCCTCTTTGCCATGCCGCCTCCTCCTTTAGTTATATTATTTTATGTAGTCCTCTATGAAATCAATGTAAATTCCATTTTACAGCTGAGAAAACTGGTTTTGAAAACTGAATAGGTTTTTAGAGGCATAAACCTTGTTGGGAAGGCTGATGCTTATCAGTGGGAATAGTCTGAACAAAGGCAAGGATGTGGGAAAGCCAGGGGCACATGCACAGATACTACACAGATCATTGGAAACGTAAAGGCAAGTGATAAGAGAGATAAAACCGAGTGCTTTGTTTTAGCTAGATAATGAAGGAATCAATGAGAGTTGCCATGGAGATAGAATAAAATAGCCTGGTAGATGGTTTACTGAAGTTCTAACAAAGGAGGAAAGTGAAAGTGAAGCAGCTCAGTCGTGTCTGACTCTTTGCGACCCCATGGACTGTAGCCTACCAGGCTCCTCTCTCCATGGGATTCTCAAGGCAAGAATAAATAGCCTGGTAGATGGTTTACTGAAGTTCTAACAAAGGAGGAAAGTGAAAGTGAAGCAGCTCAGTCGTGTCTGACTCTTTGCGACCCCATGGACTATAACCTACCAGGCTCCTCCATCGATGGGATTTTCCAGGCAAGAATACTGGAGTGGGTAGCCATTTCCTTCTCCAGGAGATCTTCCCGACCCAGGGATTGAACCTGGGTCTCCTGCATTGTAGGCAGACACTTTACCGTCTGAGACACCAGGGAAGTCCCTAACAATGGAGGAATAGTTGTCAAACATGAGGCAGTGATCCAGGGATTAAGTGTCTAGGAGAAAGTAATACTAGAAGAAATAGTGAGCACAAGAGAATATGGGACATTAATGTCCTGTCCTAATGAGCTTAATTATAAGTATCCCAATACTGTCTGTGCCAGCACAGTAAGAGTTTAGGAGAAAGGGCCAAGCAATTGTAGGATGTAATCAATGGTAAGGCTAGTTAGTGCCCATGGAGGGATAATCTTAGACCAGAGTGCTTCAAACTCAAATACGGTTCAGTGAGGTACCATAATATACAAAAAGTGATCCTCATACTGGACCGTGGTGACTCATGAAGTTCAGGGAGACTCATTCTCATCAAGGAAGACCTTTCAGTGCCCAATGAGAGAGACTGAGAGCAAATCTGAACCACAAGGAAAAGGACTGATTTATGCTAAAGCTGGCTTCTCTGGTAGCTCAGCTGGTAAAAAATCTGCCTGTAATGCAGGAAGCCCTGGTTCAATTCCTGGATCAGGAAGATCCCCTGGGGAAGGGCTAGGCTACCCACCCCAGCGTTCTTGGGGTTCCCTGGTGGCTCAGATAGTAAAGGATCCACCCGCAATGTGGGAGACCTAGGTTTGATCCCTGGGTTGGGAAGATCCCCTGGAGGAGGGCATGGCAACCCACTTCAGTGTTCTGGCCTGGAGAATTCCCTGGACTATATAGTCACTAGGTTTGATCCCTGGGTTGGGAAGATCCCCTGGAGGAGGGCATGGCAACCCACTTCAGTGTTCTTGCCTGGAGAATCCCCATGGACAAAGGAGTCTGGTGGGCTACAGTCCGTGGGGTCGCAAAGAGTCAGACACGGCTGAGCAACTGAGCACAGAACAGCACAAGGTGCTAAAAGCATTGATCGGAACCAGTTCTGCCCCCTCTGCTAGTTACCAGTTTCCTAGGGTGCGAAGTTGACTTTTAATCCCCATTCTATCGTTAGACAAACTGGCATAACAATTGTGCATCAGAGACTTAGGTGGAAGGATCAGCCAAAGAGTCTTCTGGCTGGAGCTTTGTGGTCTTTCAGTGGAAGACTGAAATGGTATGCTCTCCACCGCTCTAGGGATCTGTTAATTTCAAAGCACCCTTATGTCAGGCATGAGGAAGTCAAAGGATTACATTACTTCTAGTCCATGTTTGTTTACAGAGAAGGTAACTGATATCTACTGCCAGCCTGAGTTCTCGTTTATTCTAAATATATTTATTTATTTATTTATTTATTTATTTATTTATTTTTGACTGTGCTTTGTTTGGGTCTTTGTTGCTGTGCATGGGCCTTCTCTGATTGTGGAGAGCGGGGAATACTCTCTAGTCAAGGTGTGCGGGCGTCTCGTGGTGGCTTGTCTTGTTGCATAGTGTGGGCTCTGGGCACGTGGCTTCAGGACTTGTGGCTCCCAGGCTCCAGAACGCAGGCTTGGCAATTGTGGCACTTGGACTTAGTTGCCCCATGGCATGTGGGATATTCCCAGACTAGGGATCAAACTGGTGTCCCCTGCATTGCCAGGCAGATTCTTAACCACTGGACCACCAGGGAAGCCCTCATTAATTCTAGAACAATTACAGGTAGCTTGAGTAGGGTTGGAAAAATCTGAAACCATCAGTAGGCAGTTGAAATTGCTCAATTGGTTTAAGAGGAGAGCATAAACAAGAGATTTTAAAGTCATGAAGATACAATGTGTGTGCGCTCAGTAGTGTCCAGCTCTTTGAGACTCCCTGCACTGTAGCTTGCCAGGATCCTCTGTCTGTGTAATTTTTCCAGGCAAGAATACTGGAGCAGGTTGCCATTTCCTCCTCCAGGGGATCTTCCTGACCCAGGGATTGAACCTGAGTCTTTTGCATCTTCTGCATTGGCAGGCGGATTCTTTACCACTGCACTACCCGGGAAGTCCCTAAATAGATACAATGGTTGCAAGTATTTTTTTTTTTAAGTGAAATTGTTGAAGGAAATAGGAAAGGGAAAAAGCAAACAGAGGGACGATCCAAGGGATCTCACAAAGGGATCCTCTGAGCATGGAGAAAAAGAGGGGGAAGGGGAGTTGGACAAGAATTTGGAGGGAAGGAGGACAGGAGAGAATGACAGATGTCATATAGAAACAGAGAAGGACTAAAACCATTAGATGGTCTACTAGGAGGTCATTGTGACCCTTAAGAGCAAGCATGATTTATGCATGAGTGAACATATCATACCACAGTGGATGTAACATGAGTGAGCAGTAAGGAAATGAAAGCAATATAGTTTTTTCCCCTCAGAGATACTTGGCCGTGGAAGGAAGGAAGGAGGGAAGGAGAGGCAGGAAAGGAACTCTGAGCATAGAAACTCAAGAGTTGAGAGAAGTTTTTCATTTTGATTTTCAAATCTTTGAAGTGTTGTCTTTGAAAAGAATTTTCCCTAATCTTCAGTGTCTTATTGCTTCTATTTTCGGCCATGGGGTCAGAATCAGAGGGTCCTGGATTCAGTTTATGCTGCTGTGTACTAGCTTTACCTTTCCCATGGAGCATAAGGTGTATGATTTTGACAAGTTACTTAATCATACTTGTTTCACATGCAGATGAACATTATGCATTTTTTACTTTGTGATCCTTCTTCCCAGGAGGAGGTCTGATTAAATCAGTTGTCATCATTCAATGAAGTGCAACACTTCTGCAGAGAATAGTTCACCAAGACCTTCTCAGATGTGCTGCTAATCTATGTGCACAAGGTTTTTACAAGATAAATGATTATGACTCTAGAATAGTAATACCACCTTATACATGCATTTTTTCTTTAAATATTTACAAAGAACTTTCACAGGCATTTTCTAATTAAATTTGCATAACATGTTCTCTGAAAGCAGAAAGAGTGAAGTAGCTTAAAAAAAAAAACTAGATAATGAGGCCAAATAAAAATTTCCAAGTGGCAAAATAAATTTAATCTCATCTTGAATTTGTTATGGAACCTATAAGCTATAGGACCAGTTCTTTTGTCTAAGCACAATACCAAAGGGAATATTTCTTTTGTTGACTCCAATATATATTGTAAAGAGTTGAGCCAAAAGACATACAAATATTTTATTTAAACAATATGAGAATCAGGATTTAGTAAGGGCTGCCCAGGTAATTTGGACTAATTCTCCTACTGAAAACAAATAGAAAAGCTGGGGACCTGTAATAGAACTAAAGACACCAAAATGCTATCAAGTCAGTCAAGCGTTGTGTTTCTAAAATCCAGAAGAATGAAAAGACCCAGAAAGATAACCAATCTGTAAAGTCAGATTTGCCCTAAATTTGTCAGGTTATTTTAGGAAGAATTGGTTGAGAGAATAAACAGAGATTTTACAGATTTATGGATACAGAGGACAGAAGTTGGAGTTCAAGCCCCAACAAAGAGAATATCTAGTAACATCTCCCTCCAGATTCTTGTTGGAACCTTGAAGGTCCAACCTAGGAGTAAGAACAGACCGGACAGAGACTGGCCTTCACTGAAACAGAAACCCAGCTCCAAACTGTCCTAAGTCCTAATTGAATTAATTAAGTTAATATGGACTTTCTGTGTCCCCAGCTGCCCAGCCACATTAAAGGAATATATCATCTTAGGCCTAAATTAGATCTATAATTTTTTCATAAACTATAATTGTTAATCAAAAGTACTCAGAAATATGAGGAAACAAGACAGGTGCCTAACACTAAGAAATAA